CACAAGAAAGATTAATCCCAAATATAGTTTTTCACTATATTCAACAAAAAGATTAAATTAAAAAAAATAAAAATGTGGATTTCTTAACATTTTAAATGAACAAGTAAATTTACGTACGAGTTACGTGAATATAATGTGTAAAATTTTATTAACATTATATTGCTTTTAGTCATTACGAGATAAATAAACAAATATTTTATATTTATGTTAAATTTCAAAGCTTTTTCTTAAATGAATTTTTCTCCTCATAGATAATTATAATACAGAAATATCTCAAGAAAAGAAATTTAATAAACAAATAAATTTGTGCATCTCTTTACCTATTCTTGGAATTTTTTCATGAGATATTATATATTTTCATTTAATACATTTTGAAAGACACCATTAACACATGCATATACCAAAATTATATATATATATATATATCAACAATTCATTCAATCCATTTATATCTCATTGATGTTTCTAATAGATTAGACATTCATATGCACTTATTAGAATAATGTGCTTAACTCTTTGTTAGATTTCATATCATAGATAATTAAATTCAATATAATACACTTTACTCTATTATGAAAGAAGCATAAATTCAAGGCTTCATAACCTATTTTGTCTTCAATTTTGCTAAATAATATCAATTCAGTCCCTCATCTTAAAAGTGTCTGAAATTGGTCCTTATTTATTAAATTTTGCATCAATTTCCTTCCAAGTAAATCTAATTATTTATTAGATATTTTAGGGTTTTCGATTTGGTTATAAGCCCTATGCACATGTATTCTCATTTATGAATTTGGATTAATTTTTTCCTCCCTTTTTAATATCATTTTTCCTTACAACTTCCCTAATTCCAATACTATTTATTTCACAAACTACTTCCAACAAAAATTAAACACACATCAAGATGTTTACAGTAAATCACGCACTGTTCAATCAATTAACTTCTACCTGTGCTACATTAACTTGGGTTTATATCCACACACACACACACACATATATATATATATAGTTTTGGTTTTTCTATCATTGTTTAACAGTAAACTCATTTTCAATCAACTACCGCAATCAAACAGTGACGGTTAATTTGGGGAAAAAACGATTTTAAATGCAAATGAAATTGTCAAAATAATGCAAACCATGATTGAATAAATAAACTGTGCATCACATTTCCTAATGTGTTAAAGTTAAGCAAGAATGAGCATTCTACAAGATAATAATATCATTTGCTGACCTCCACACCCGAAAATGTTTGTCATAGAATGAGCAAGTAGCCATCAATGGTTTGGTTTTCCCACCTAAATGATTTGCTTCACCTTTCTGCCAGTCTACTCCATAAGCAAGAGAATCATGTTTGTTGTAAGTTTCCAATACTTCAGCATTGTCACCTTTAATAGCAACAATAGCAAAACCATTGTGCATACATGCAGCCAAGACCAAGCCTGGAATGAAGGGGTGCTGCTTAACCCTCCAAACTCCTCCCCCTAAGCTAATTGAAGTATTGTTAAGGGGTTTTGAGAGAGACCTTAAATCCCATACCCTCAGGAATTCATCATAGCTACCAGTCAACAAGATATTCGGATCATGGGGGCTCTTCTCAATGCAAGTAACACCCATTTTGTGGACCTTAGAGCTTTGAAATACCACATTAGGAGGTCTATCTCGCAAATCCCAACAACTTAACTTGCAATCATCAGAGCCAGTGTATATCAAATTTGGTTGGTGAATATCAAAGCAGGTTGTCCAAAGTTCAAAATCATGAGCCTTCCACTGTTCTTGTATTTCCAGCTTGGATTCAAGAACAGAAACAATAGACACAGAGCCATCAGAAAGTCCTACTGTGATAGATGTGGCTGAAGGGTTCCAATCCAGGTACAAGCACATAGAGTTGCTGATTTTTTCCTTAATGATCTCCTTTAGAGTAACCCCTGACATAGAATCAATAACAAATCTTTAGTACAAGGTAAGTGAGTAAAAGATGACAGGATATCTCTTTAGCAAAATACCAATTTAGAAATAACTTAGATGTCATGGATGAGTACATTAAGTAATGGAGAATATTTGACATCTTTGCAATTTGCGTAAAAAACCAAACCTATATAATAAAAAATAAAAAATAGCCGCTAACAGAAAAGTGTATAAAGTAACTAAAACACGAGGTCAAATAATTTGTAACAATGATTGTAATTTTCATACTAACACAAGGGATAAATCTTATATTAAAAAAGGCCATAAAATAGAGACAAATTATAATGCCAAAATAGGCCATAAATGGGAACCAGAACTGATGGCTGGATGTCATAAATTCATATTTCTTGCCTCGATTAGAATTATTACGACCCTGTGATGAAGTGATGTTGCTGTTATGGTGTTGCGGCTGTGAAGAGAAGCCTTCATCCACGGTTAAGAGGGCAGTGGAACCAGATTCACGGGTTGCTCGCTCCTTAATTGTGGTCTCTTCCATCTTTAAGCGAGAACATGTTGTGGCAAAATTGGGCAATTCATCTTTCTGTTGCATAACCGTGACAAAACTAGCACAGGCTTCGGTTAATCCAGCGAGCAAGCGGAGCACAAGACGTTGATCTGAAACAGGAGCCCCGACATTAGATAATTGGTCAGCAAGAGATTTGAGGTGGTTGCAATAGGCGGAGGTTGAGGAGAAATCAGTCAAGCACGTGTTTGTGAACTGAGTTTCAAGATACATCGCCCTAGAGTTTTTGTTATCTTGGAATAGATCAGCGACACGCTGCCAGGCTCTTTCAGCCGAATCATCAGCCACGAGAATCGATGTGAGAATATCAGGAGATATAGTCGCATAAATCCATTGAAGGACAACAGCATCAAGACGGTTCCATAGTGGGAGATCAGCGACCTTGGCTGTTTGATATGCTGTTATGGCTGCGGCATCCGTAGGGGGGATGATATGTTCAAGCACGGAATGAACTTTAGCTTGGACCTTAAATAAGGTTGTCCATGAGTGATATTGGCCGGTTTCCATGTCCAAGGTGATTGGAATAAGATGCTTCACGTTGGTGACAGCTAGGGCGGAGTGAAATTTGGAGTTTTCGGCCATTGATGGGCAACAATGGGAAGAAGGAAGGAGAAAAAAAAATTGCTTGGAAGAAGAGAAGAACAGTGACGGCTAGGTTTTTAGGATTTGAGGAAGGTAACCTAATCTGATACCATGGAGGAAATCATCCGTACTTTGCATATTCATTGATAAGGAATATATACAAATTGCAACCTATAATTTAGGTTGTCATTATAACTGACAAGCTATAATTGAGGCTAACCTTTAGGCAACTAATACTACAAAATCTACTTAAATAATAACAAATTATTTTATAACAGATCATATCTAACAGGTGGGATTTTTAAGAGTACATGAGAAATTGTTATCAAACTCTTAAGTCTCAACTCGTAAATTCCAACAGCTACACTTCTAAGTATAGGTAGCCAATTGACTGTTGAACTCCTTTCTAGATCTGGACTTGGAATAAACTTGAGTCGAGAAGAGACTCGTTGAGTCTCGAAATTAGATGTAATTCATTTACTCAACTGACCAGCGACAAGTGTTTATGTTTGCCCAGGTGTTGTTTAGGAAGTCAAGATAGATGCAATATTTCAATAGGGGTCAAAACAATCAGAGCCTCACCATAGTCTGTTTTGTGAAGGCAATTAGCATGAAGTTTTGTTATCAAGCTTAGTGTTGTCAAATTGGTATTCTTCTATGGTAATGATGCTTAAGAACTCAGCATCCATTGCGAATTCAAGATCACAAGAATCCAGAGTTGTCAACCCATTGTGAAGAAGCGAAGATGAGTGTGAAATGAGAGACTTTGAACAAACAATAAGGACTAAGCTAGCCTTGTTATCGAAAACTTTCACACAAGCACCACTGTATCATTCCAACATACCATGTAGAAAAACCTAAACCAACTAAACTTTCAAACATTTTATTAGTAACATGGACGAATCTTCAGTTTTAGAGCCAAACAAATGATAATTCATCTTGAGTACGTGCAACGTCTCCACCATAACTTGTGATGAAATTTTACCTAGTTTTTTAATTACTTCTAAATATTTATATATTTGGTCAAATTTCAGCCTATCAGTCAGTACGAACTCTCAACTTTGACAACTTTTTATTTTAATACAGTTTTGAGTGTTACTAAGTTGACATGTTCATATTGAATACAGTGCTTTATAGAAATTAACCAAGGACTAAATCCATACCTTCCACTCCGTTAGAGCCACCTTCCAGCATTTTAATTCTCAAGTATCCATCAGCATCTGCTTGAGCTAGAAAAGGATTCAAACGTCCTCCAGGTGGGCTCCACTTTATGTCAAAAATCCCAGCAGTTTCCTCACTAAAAACCATGTCAAGGTGGCCTTTGTCCTCATCAACATTGAAAAGTGATATGCTTCCATGTCGATTGGGCTGACAACCTTCTTGTAATGTGTAAGTGGATACCGCCAAAACGTTATGATACAAATCATACGGACAAAACTCCACAGCATCAGCATTCCCCTTTAAATAACAATGTGCTACGTCCATGCTAGCCGAATGATTGCCTAGCTATCTTATCAGCAACTTTGAATAAGACAACCAAATTTAAACGTTACCATATTGATTTCACAAGAACATAATTTACCATAGAAAACATATGTCAGAAGAACATGACACAAATCAATCCAAAATAAAGCACCCGACCAAAATTTTACGGAATGAAAGTTGTTGGATGTTTATAATGCACAATAAAGATTAGAACTACAGATTTTCATGTTAAAATTGCAGTTGATCAACTTGATCACAGATACCTTTTAAGGAACATCAAAGGAAGGGACCACGAAATATAAAATCCTATCAAGGAATCATAGACTCACCCAAAACAAAAGGGTTTCTAACCCTCTTCTGCGAAATCCATGAACAACTCAAGGGTATTGGCATTATCTAGTGTGTGGACTTCACGTTTTAATTTACTGTTTTGGGCTAAGTATAATGATTATCACCGGCAAGCACAGATTTAGAGTCAGTTACAATTTTTAGTTTAGTATGGAGTGAAGGGCACAATTTAAAAATAATAATACTAGAAAACTCAATATAAACAAATTTACAAAAATAAAAAAGGGATTCAAATAAAAAAATTGGCCCTGTCTCACCTTAACTCACTTTAAGAAGATCACAGTTCAGTCTAAACGTATATATAAAGTGCATGTACTGCCTCAATCAGCTCTATTTTAAACCATCGGCTATATATTTCTCAAAGATAGAAATATATATTTTTCCGGAGACCAACCGAACTCGGTGGTGGAGGAAGGACCAGCAGCAGATAGCACAGAGAGCAATAACAGCAAAGCGAATTAAGGTACACTTCTACTCCTTCTATTTCAAATGATAATTCCACTCTAGAAATCATCTCTGCTGTAGTGGATATACGTCAATTCCTCCATTATTGAGTTTAATTGTGAAACACTATGTAAGGATCATAATCAGAGAACATTTAAACAAGAAATAAAGATGTGAAAACATTTGGGAAGGAGGAAAACTATTCAATGGCAATGAAAGGAAGAAGTGATGCTGGTGGTGCTTCCAATCAGTAATGCCTTCGGATCAGTGCCACGGTGGTAACGGTGTACGGAGAAGCCCCAGCAGGGATGGTGATGGCTCCACTGTTAGTGTTTGATGTTTGGCGTGAACGAAGTCTCTGGTCGGAGGTGCAACGATGCTTCCAATTGCCGCTGCAGCAGCACGGCGATGATGGCCGTAATGGAATCCGTTGGGAGGGTGGTCCTCAGTTCAATGCTACTTGCGGCGATGCCTCCGATTGCCGTCGCGGCTCCGACGCAGTTCCCGGTCAGAGGTGTCGCCGCGACGAAGAGGTGCACGAAAAAGCTTGCATGGAGATGGGGAGCCTCTATTGGCATTTGTATTGGAAATTTGGGGGAAGAAGATGATGTATACTGACAAAGGAAAGGGTGGTGTTTAATCATTCACCTCCAACCTCTTCAACCTCCGTCCCAATTTCCTAAAATATCCTTAAGTAAAGAGGTAGTTATCCAGTAATTATATGTTTAATTATATTATTTCTAAATATTTAATAAGATAATTTTAAAATTTGATATATTATTTTAAATGGTTTAATTATATTATTTGTAATATAAAAGTTTGTTTTTTCAAAATCTTTTATTATATAATTTTAAAATTTAAAAGTTTATTTATTTTGAACGTAAAAATTTATTAGATTAATTTAAAATGTTTATTTATATTATTTATAATTGTTTAAATAGATAATTTATATACAATCATTTGTATGAATATTTTTAATTTATTGAAAATATAAATTTATTTAAAAATCATATAAAAAAATTTTACAAATTATTTTGTAGGTTTAAGTATTATTATGTTTTTTGCGTTTTAATCTTTAAGTTTATTAGATTATATTTTTTATTTTACAATTTAATTAAAAATATTTAATCTTATTCTATTAATTTTTAATTTTGTTATAAAATAAATTGTATTAGTATTTTAATTTATTTAAAGAAAATTGGTATGGAAAAATAATATGAAAATTTTGATTTATTTTTTAGGTATTTTATGTATTATTATTTTGGTGTTTATTAGATTATTTATAATTGTTTAATGTATTG